CTCGAGTAACACTTACCCAGTTATTCTCGAATCATGACAAGTAATTAAGCCGATTGTTAATTTAACAAAAGCCCAAAATCCTCCCTTAATTTTACGTGTTATGAAAAGACACCCCTTCAATGCCGGTTTCCCATTACCCTATTACTGTCCTTCAGGACTAATTGCTATTATAAATTCATCGACCCGTCAAGTTTTTGGTTGGATACCGGAGAAGGTCTTTTTTCTTAAAGGATATTTTTATATTTTTTGTCTCCCTTTTTCTCCTTCTTTCTCATCCATACTCTGTATTTTTTTTCTCTCTCGCTCTGTCCCCATACACTTACCTTTACACAATGTGAATAAAAAAAAAGTTATCGCACAAAATTTATCGAAGATTATTACTCATCCCGTGTGCTCTGCTTTATCATGGGACTTCGCTCTTCTTATCATTGGAAATTAGTGGCGACGTGAAAAAGTTAGAGGAAATGCCGAATGGTGGAGAGGGGCCTGAAAGTAATACAGATAAAGAGCACAGTGACGCAGATGCACGCTGGACGAGACTTTTTTGTTAGTATTCAAATTCAAAGGTTAAGCCGGTCGGAGTCCTTACGGGGATATACTGTGTTAGAATAATGAACGAGGAGTAATTAATTAAAATCCCGCGAATACGGTGGATTAATGTGAATTTCTCACTGAGGCTAAGCCAATTACAATTTACAATTGAACTCACCGCAGGGTGGATACCGTGTTAAACTTTTGATAAAAACATTTTTATTTCAATCCATTTTCGCAATTTATTTGTTTCTCCCGAGTTCTTTCGTTTTATATTTGTACGTAGAAAATAATTTTTTTCTAATTCAGTTTAGGCTTTGTAATCTTTGCGGTTTCAACTTGTAACTTTCACTTCCGCAGGAAGATCACGTATCAGCTTCGTGCGCCGTGCGGTTAATTTCGATGCCAAATTAGTGTCTAATAAATATGTAATTTAATAGCGTCAGACCTGCAGAAGAAATAAATGAAAAAGTTTAATATTAATACTCTCGAGCATTGTCTTTAATGTACTCGGGGTAATTACTACTGAACTACTATAAAATAAAATCGCGAGGGAGCTGAAGTGCGAAGTAACAAATAATGTCTTTTTTTTATATCCGTAGGTAGAAAACCAGCGAAGAGGAAGCGTCAACATGGAAGATTTTGAATGTGTTTGGAGCTGACGGGAGTGGGGAGGAAGACGAGGAGTCATTTTTGACAGCAGTTAATCAAAAAAAAAAGCATCATGAATTCGTCATATTTACTTGGCGAGGACGAGGAATGGGGACAACGATATTATTTTACCTATTACAGTCAATTTGGAGATAGGAAGGGTGCAAGTGGGTTGGAGGTGAGTTGAATAAAATGTTTTCAACGTGTTCCAAAAAAAGAAAAAGGTTACAGAAACAAAATTTTATATAAGATTGTAGACTTTACTTTTTCTTTATATGCTCCAGTACAGTTACGCCGACACGCAAGAAGCGACCGAAGTCGATTTTGTATATTTTAACGTAAATATTACCATGGGTTTCCAATGTTTATATACCCTATAACGAAATAGGCATTTCCACAGGCCTAAAAAAGAGTTTATTATTGAAAAAGAAAATTAATTTAAAACAAGCTACCACGTACGTACAGGTATGAATATGAAATCCATATACACCTCAGGTCGATCGTTCTTGCATTTATTGGCTTTTCCTAGTTATCAAGAATACACTGGTTTTCTTTTTCATGTATACAGTGCGATTGCCTCTCTCAGAAATGAAAGAAACCTGTAGCCTCGTTCAAGAAGTGCCACGATGTCAGTAAGGCAAAGTGATTGCCCCAGTAACAAGGGTACATGTACTGAATACCTGCAGTAAATGAAATGCACTTTACGCAATTGAATATCCTCCTAGACTTTGAAATGTCGTGGCAGACGATATTCCGAGTAGAAAAAAGTGACAGGCGGTACCGAAGAAATTTTCTGATAACCTAAAAGTAGATAAGAAAGAAAAAGATGATTTTTACCTCGATCAAATTTTTTTCGACGCCGAACTTGTAGCCAAAGGCCTTCGCGCGTTCCTATATATAGCCGTACTTCATTGAACTTCGAATTACTATGTGTCAGCCAGTATATACCACACAGCTGCTTGTGAAATAGACTTCACCTACTATCTAGTACATTATAGAGGGCCAACCGCATTATTTGGATAGCCCTTGGTGGACGAAATTCCTATAGAGAAACAGCGTAGAAATTATAAATGAGAATTCAACTGACTTTCAGTGTAACGAATTTACGGGTCATCCTTTCAGCGTAAAGGTTATACGTACTTTCCAGTACGTTCGTAAAGTCCCGTATAGAGGGCGTCTCGTGACTGCGCATAAAAGCGGGAAAATTCAAATTTAATTAAACTTCTAAAGTCCAAAATATCCCTAGACGAAGGCTACTCTTTTTTTTTTGTTTTCATTTAATTACAGATATTCGTGCTAGCGGTGACTTTTGTTATCGCAGTAGGTGCCAACCTTGGCATCGCCGGATGTGTCCTGCGTTATAAGGAAATGAGGACGCCGACCAATCTCTGTTTAGTAAATTTGGCGGCTGCCGATCTTTTATTTGCACTTGGGGTACCAGCAGTGGCGTATACAAGATCAACACAAACTTGGAAGCTGGGGGAGACTGTCTGCAGACTCCTGCCGTATTCTCAGGTCAGTGTGGATTGTATAGATACATATTTTTTTTGTTCCCCTGAAATTCCCTCTTCGTTTATTTTAAGTAAAAAAAAAATGTATAATTGTCTACATTGTCAAGGTGAAATCCCCCCTTCTTATATCCTATGGAATTGCTCTCATTCTACCCTATTCAAGGCATCCAAAAGCTAAATCCCCTGCAATTGGAATTTCAATGAGTAGCTCTCACGCATTAAGCCCTGGGTTCGTCGTATACATTGACCCCATCCAAGTTTACTATGACGATCTTATTCGAGCGCGTAATCGACGCAGCAATGCGATTTAACGAACTAGACGATTTGACGTGGTCATGAGCATGAATGAATTTAGTGAAAATACATTTTGCACGGCTAACAGGAACCTGTAATCTATGATAAATTCAATTCGTCGATAAATTATCCTCATTTCCTGTTTCCCACCTTTTCGCTGCTGTCCGATAACGTTATAGAAATTTCTTAAAGGGTTAGGCTATTATTTTTCTTTTTTAATTGCGTTACAACAACCTCGGTCTTTGATCGAAAAACGATGATGCGTTGCCGTCAAAAATTTTTCTCGTATCCCGTGAACTCGAAAATCTTTTTTCATTCAGAGAGAGATAGCGAGAGAGAGCAATTTTGCTCTTGCCTTTTCCGCTTCGAATTTTAGAATAACACTTATTTTAAATAACTGTTTATTGTTCCGCTGCACTTTCCACTCTCGCCACATTCGCAAAATTGCATTCTCCCTGGAATCGCGCATGCCACAGTGCATTTGCACCGTATTTCATTGTAGACTAAATATACAGTGCATACAATGTACAAGAACACGTTGCACTACCACACAGTGCATATATACAGGAATCCTTGAGAATTTTCACCTGGTTGTCTAGTAATTTCTCCGTTTTTATTCTCACCAGGCTTTAACGTCACGAAAATTTCGCTAAAGTAGACACGGACCATAATCGAACGACGTTAAATTTCTGCAGAGCACATGTGCACACGTGCGAATGTGCATGTTGCACATGCGGGGATGCCAAAGCAAAGTAGAAAAGTAGCTGCGCCGCGATGGCTTGTTTGCACGGGAAATTGATGAGACTGGATTTAGATTCTGAAATAGGGATTTGGCAGTGGCGCCGCGTAGCGGCTAATAAAATGTTTAACGTTATCAGTGCTGTACAAAATTAGTTAATACAAAGTTAATTGGAGAAGCACAGCGGACGATATTTTCAGTAACACTATTGTCATCGTCGCAACGAATCAACGTCGATAACAATGAAATTTTCATTACCATCAGCGGAGACTTCGGTCGTTCGATTAATTATTTTCAATTAATTTTGACACGTATCAATCACCGAACATCAATTACTATCAAGAACTAAGTAATTCGTACCCGTATTTACTATGGATAAATGAGGGCCAAGCAGTAGTTGACAATACAGGCTGATTCGAATTAGAAGATATTAGAAGGCATTCCAATATTTGTCGTCATTCTCCTGGTGGCACATCTATTTTTCTCTCCTAGATATGGAATGTACATTCCATCACGGCATCGCAATTGCAGTCATTCTCTGATATATATTTTCTTTTGCTTTCTCATAAATACGTAAAATACAAATGCCAGACCATCGTTCTTGACAAATAATAGAAGTAATTTTATATAAATTTATTAGCCACTGACAATACAGCAAAAACATTATTCGGGTACGTATTAAAATATTTTGCTGAAATGTCACTCATTCCTTGTTACGTTATTCAGCATTTTCTTTGCGTATCTGACTTAATGAGTGACAGACGTTCATTTACCTTTTGTCCAGTAAGCATTTTACTAATTATGCGTCGTACTCTTGCTTGAATTTCGCCTGCATTTTTTCCTCGCTGCAAATAACAAAGGAACGATAACAGACAATAAAATGGAGGCAATAACGTATACTCGATTAATCTTATAAGCGATACTCACAATAACAGCTATTTAAAATTACATAATGTCAGACCAAAATCAATGCTAACCGTTGAATCAGTACAATAAGTCGTTAGGAAAATAAATTTACGTGAATGTAACCTTGTACTTTTCCAGTTTGTCTGTGGATTTGTACTACTTTGGACGTTGACATTGATTTCTATGGACAGACACAGATGTCTGGCGATCGCTCCATATAGAAGCGCCTTAACAGGACCCCGAGTTCTTGCGGCTAGTCTCATAACGTGGGCGATAGCAGCCTCCTTGTTTCTTCCTGCTGCCTTTTGGTTTCGACCCAGGGTAAGTCATTTTTCAAGCGAACTCTCTGAGCTGTGTTACGTCATTTTAGATAAAAATGCATGTCTTAGTTGCTGTTGATGTCTCTTTTTTGTTCTGACACGACAGGAAGTGGCTGACGGTACCATTTGTACTTTGGTATTTCCAAAAAATGACGTGGTCAACATATCACTTTGCTTCACTATTCCGATCATCATAGTCGCTTGCCTTTTGCCAATGGGACTACTGGTTTATCATTACCAGAGAATTTTTCAGAGGATCCTGGATACCAGGAGTAGGTGGGCCGTACCCTGCGTTGCTCAGGTGGGTCCATGTCGTATTAATAAATCTGTTGAATTTGAATTTCGTGTAACTAATAAAGATTGATTTAATTATATAAAAGAAATGTTTTTATATGTTATATTAAACCTAGGGTTTGGAAGCAGGAGCTGGCGGTAGACGAGATTCTGAGTTATCCGTGGTCGGTACCCTAGTACCATGGGCTGGACGTAAGTTGTCCACCGTATCCATAACAGGTCGTCAAGGTAGAGCAGGAAGTCTCTCTCATCACGAGGAAATCAGACTTCACAAGCATCTACGGGTGGTCCGGATTCTTCTGCTTAACGTTGTAGCAGTTCTAGTTATGTGGTTGCCAATCACCATCGTCATGTTCCTCATCTACGTAGACGGCAGACGATCTAACGAGGATACGAATTTCTTTCTTAAAAGTCATCACTTTGTCTGGGCCCTAGTCGTCGCCCAGCTTAACACTGTCGTCAATCCACTACTTTACGGTGTCTTCTCTGAGAATTTTAGAGCATGCTTTGTCAAGCTCTGGAGACGGGGTTTGAGCAAAGATCATGGAAGTGGTGAACGTGTTAGTGGTGGTACGGGCTCCAGGAAGGGTGTCAAATCCTTGGAGGTTTTTCAAGACAGATTAGGTGGGCCCAGAACTCCTAGCAGTCTGAGAACTGGTCCAAGACCACCGAAGAAAAGTTCCAGTTGCAGTATTGCCAGTATTATCGAAGTTCCCAGCTTGGAGAAGCTCTAGAAATTTTGAAGGATTTTCAAAATGTCAAAACTTGTGACAGACAATTTTTTTAGTACGTAAAACATTCGCTCGTACCTTTATTACAGATCCTTGTAGATTTTGAACTTTATAATATTACAGTATAATAGTGAATCAGTACTTAGAAACGATTAACTTAATTTTACTATTAAAAAATTACATGTGAGTGAAGTATCTCTATAAAATTCTCTTTTGTACCCGTTCGTATCAATGATTTAATAAATCATATCGCTATGTGCATCGGGCAATGAAATTGTATTATCCAATTGTAGGATATTATTGTAAGAATGTACATGGTGAACCATATTATCCTATGGATCATGGATAATGAATATACATTTTTTTTTTACTTTGAATTTTTAAAATTGGGCCAAAATTTCATCAATGTATCTATCGATCCAAATCAACGTGCTTACTAATTAAGATCTTAAGACATACCGAACAGAAACGGTGTTTCCGATATATTATGTACATTTCTGTATATACATTAAAAGGCACGTATTATACAGACATATTTACTGTATACCAAATGTAAATTTTTGTTGTCTAAAATGACAGCTATTTATATATATTTAAATAGGAACTCATTGTATAATTTTAATATTTCAATATTTATGGATAATTAATAATTAATTTCAATATTTATGGATAGGTGTACCCGGTGGAGGCTGAAATAATTGCTTAAAGTATTGCCAGAACGGTAGGACGAAATTAGGCAGCCCTTTAAGAAAGGATCCGGGATGTGAATTTTGTGAATGTCCATTCCGTCCACTTGATTACGCGTCCAGGGTGGCAAATAGTTTGACTTTACTGCCGCAGCCATTTCCTGAATATACTCTGACTTTGACTCTGACGCAATACAGCCACCCTCGCAAACTCTAATCAGACTTCCCCGTCTGACGTGTATACAAAAACATGTAATAAAAGTTAAACCAACAGACGTTGACTTTAAACAATCGACTTGGAAGCAAGGCTAAATCAACAGTTTGTAAAACTATTTTCTTCTTCTTTTTATAAAAAGGCGATAACCGCAGGCTGGATATAAACAAAATTTACGCGCCACAATAAAACTTGAACATGAAAAGTGGAAAGGATTTTCTTGTCCTTTTATTCGAGGTTTCCTCATTAAAGTTTTCACTTTTTTTTTCAGTCTTCACAATGGCGAAATTGACATGGTATAAGACCATTATAATAAATGTATTGGCAATAAATCTGGTAACGAATGAAAAGAAATTGATATGACTTGTTCCACGAAGACGTAAAGCAGGAACGAATTTAACAGAAAGCTGTTAATCAATGAATGTTGGCGTACCGATGGTAAACTATTTATATATAAGACAATTGCGAGGGTTGCCGCAATTGATGCTCTAAACAGAATTGTATGCTTCGTTATATCGTGGCCGTGACGGCGTTCGTTATTTATGAAGAAAAAAAATTCTTTGCCACAGACGAAATTTGAAAAGGAAGCAGCAATACATGCACATTTTTAATAGGTGATTAATCTTTGGTAATGTGGTCCAATTAAATATTGTTAATTCAGAAACATTTTCACGGAATTTAGTTCTTAAAGATATATATATATATATATATATATATATATCTTAAGATATTATAATATAATATAATATATACACATAATATAAATATTAGGAATTATTTATTTCCTTGCGAACACTTTTCTTTATCTCTGATAGTTTTTCAATGTCCAAACAATCTTCAGATTGCAATTTACGTAAAGTTGCTAATTTAGATTCTATAAAACTAATTTTATTCAACTTTAAACCTTCCTTTTTCTTCTTCGGTGGTGAATCCTTTAAACAATTTTTTATTAGGCACCATGGCTGTCCCTCATTAGTGTGTGTTACTAGATCCACTGTGATATCTAAGGAGTCTGATATAAACTCTTCAGGTATTAACATTTCCAGCACAGTTTCAAATTCCTTAATCAGTTTTCCACAAGTCACTTTCTTCCCGTCGTTTATTAGGTTTAGATAGACCCAAGAATTCTTAGGGAATATATTGGCAAAGTCAGCTGATAGAAATACTTTGCCTGCAATATGCTTAACATTCATCTTGGGTTGATATTGAAATTTTTTCTGGTGAGCATAGAGATTTAATCTCTGATTTTTATCCTCTTCTGCTTGCAACTCAAGATCTAGTTTTTGTAAAATTTTAGAGTCCTCGCAGATCTTATCAACAATCTCTTCTGTGTTGGAAAGCATATTACAATTTAGTTCTACGAATTCCTCTTGTTCCTGATCCATATCTTCTGTGAAATCTAGGATCAAAGACCGTTCTAAAAGTACTTTTGCTGGTGTCAAAGCTAGAAGTTTTTCTTTGAAGACTTGAAAGCATAAAAAATATTGGTTCACAAAAATATCATGTTCCAACTGCTCTGAACCAAAAATTTTCTTTGTGATATATGTTTCCATTTCATCACAGTAAATGATGTTTAATGATCCATCGTGAGGGAATGCACAAAGACTATGAATATTGGTTCCCAGATTAGCTTTTTCAAATACTATCTCCTGATTTTTAGTGTACATAAATATCACGTACTCAGTCTGTGCAAGGAATATTAAGCCACAAGTCTTTTCCATACTTTTCCAAGGAACTATATCAGTAACCGTCTGTTGGCTGCAATAAATTAAATTAATGCTGTTTTTGCATAATTTGAAAATTCTCTTATCATATACAAATACACATAAATTGTCTGTAGGCTCAAACTCACTATCACCAAATATAGCTTCACGCAAATCATGTTTTGTATCGTACGAATTCAATGCAAAACTGTGTACCGTACTTGATGGCACTGAAGTAGATAAAGGTAACAGATCTCTTTCACGTTTCTCTTTTTTGTCAAATAGGTACATAATACCAGATCTGGGGTAGAATACATTGTAAAACTCATCAGCTAGTTCTATACCATTTTCACTCAACACAAGCAATTTCATGTCTTTGGATAATTTATAAATACCCGTCGGTTGACAAATTACAAAAACTCTCTGTCCAAAACATTTAAGAGTCTTTATGGAATCTGGGGTTTTCAGCGTATGTTTAGTATCTGCTTCCCCATATGGACACACAACTAGTTTTTCGTTGTCCCAGAAGAAAAGTGTATCTTTTCCATAATGATTGAAAATAAGAAAGTTTTTCGGTGCGAAATCTTCTTCCTCTTCCACGTACATCTTAATTCACTTGTATGTATAACATTCTCATCAGTGTTATTTGACAGTTAATCAAAATTTTCGTCTTCTTTCATCCTCTTGTCAGAGCATGCAATATTTTAACATCGAAATAATACCGCACTCGATGCTCCTTCCTTCCTTATGGTTCAATTGATGTTCCTTCCTTCCTTTTCCTTATAGCTGTATCCCCAATGGGGGACATGTGCCAGTAACTGGTCCTAATAATCAAGGATTGGAAGTTCGACACTAGATGGCGATGTAACTTGCGAGACGGCCTTATTCAACTCAGCGTGAGGGGACCTACAAAGTTTATACACCGAATCCGAACAGTGTTGGGCGAAATCCGTATAAATACTTAAAAGTTTTCATATGAAAACCCATTGGTGAATGCCACTGGAAGCTGGGCGCGAACCTCCAACCTTTCGGTCGTGAATCCGCTACTCTATCCACTGGGCTACGGCTGGAATAATGAAGGCAAATATTAAGGCAGGATGTACAGACTAAATAAGAATATTGGGTAACAGGGCTAAGCAAATGACTAAGGGAATTCTTTTTTTTTAGAAGGTTGTATCGATAAAGGAAAAGCGAAGACAGAATACGGATAATATGGCAGAGATGGAATGGAAATAATGATAGAGAAAAAGTAGCATAGCAGGAAAGGGGCTGTCGAAGCATAAGGCAGGAGGAGGAGGAAAAGGATGCTGTTATGATGGAGGAGAGTAAGAGAGACAGAACTCATTCGTACTTTGGGATATTCGCATAGGGCAAAAGAATATCAACGTGTATAAGTGTTACAAGATAATTTATTCAACAAACGTCATAATGATACAGTATACAAAGTACAGACATACATACAGACATACAAAGTACATAGTATACAAAGTGCAGACATGCATACAACAATACACATACAGCTCGCGAAAGATTTGTAATAACAGTACCATTAAAGATATATTACATATATCACTACAATATAATATACGTGTTGTATGTTGCATACCACTTTAAACATTTCTTTTTCCAAAAACCATTCTAAAAACTTCGTTTTTAAGAATATACTAGGAGGAGAGTGATGGAGAATGGGAAGGAATAGGAGATTCGAAAATAGAATACAAACGTTTGGTGGCAGCAGCCAGGGAAGATGTTGTTGAAGGGAAAAAGAGGAAGATTCTGAAAAAGAAAGAGTGAAGAAGAGAGCTGGTTATGACTGAGAGAACAAGGGGAAAAGAAGAGAAGACCAGATTTTTCTGGAGGAGCGAGAAAAGAGAATAGTGGGAAAAATAGGAAGTATAAGGGAGAGAAATGGGCCCCTACTCGCCCATTTCCGTGAGGTCCTGCCTCTCCTGAAGGGAGTTACGACCCCTCCGAGGCCCCATAGGGGACCGTGTTTTTTTTTTTATTGAGGAAAACCCCCAAGTCCTGCGGCTTTCGCGCACAGGACTAGGGGGGGGGGGAAACCTCAGGATGGAAAGGAAGTCGGTTCGAGGGACAAGGAAAACGCAAAAGGGGGTAAGGTGAAGTTAAACGCGAAAAAGTTAAGATAAGTTAAACGCAAAAGGGATAAGTTAAACGCGAAAGGTCTACCCCTAGTCAAGATTCACCGCAACGAAAGACCGCGGGCGTAGCACCCGGCGGTACCCTTGCGGGCACGCCAGGACATCCCGAAGGACGATATTTAACGCTACAACCTTCGTCCCTTCCCACCGAGCAAGCCCAGTGGGTTAGACGTAAGGAACCGCGCCCGCCGCCGGCGGCGAGCCCCGTTAGCCATCAATCCCCGCGCAAAATGTCTCCGACAGAGGGTGACTTTA